CGGCCCCGTCCGTCGGGCGGCCCCGTCCGTCGGGCGGCCCCGTCCGTCGGGCGGCCCCTTTGTAAATCTGTTGTTTGGATGTGGAAATTGAACTTTTGTAACGAGTATTAAACGTTGTGCTCACAAAATGCATAATTTTTAACGTTCGTAGCACAACTGATAGCATGTGTTAGTCGTTTTGTGACGATAAGCTATTGTTTATTATCGAGCGTGAATATTTTAATGTTTTTAGATTATATAATGATTGTAATGTGCATCTTTGTTATTTTTCAGAAAAAACTGTCAAACACTGAAACCATCATAACCAGTCTTGTCGCGGGAGCTACAGCAGGAGCAGCAGCGAAGACAACCATAGCCCCATTGGATAGGACGAAAATTAATTTCCAAGTAAGTTACCGGCTGGGTTTAGCTCGGAGATAGTATTGCCGCTGTCTCTGCAACAACTCTGAGTGGGATGTCCTAGGGTTCGATTCCAACGATTTTCGATATAAGCTAGATAGCTAGATCGAATTCAGCTGCTGTGGGGAGGTGAATTCTAGCGGACGGCTGCTCTGGTCGGTAGTTTTCCGTGAGTTCTCTGGTCTATACCAGGTGAACGCCGGAGCAGTACCCTAACAAATAGGCCTCGAACAGTGCGCCGTCTTTCCTTCCTGTTCGATGTCATTTCTTCTCCCTTTACTTAAACACGCTTATACTTACATCCACTACACTACCACATGTCGGGAGCTTAGAGATTGTCCCAGCTGGGGACGGCGCCCCCCTGGGGGAGTGGGAATTCACCCGCAAGCTGGCGTGTAGGTTGACACGAATCTCAACATCCAATGGGGAAGGAACACTGACACCTCCAGGCATAAAACATTATTTACATTTACCGGGCTCGTGTCTACAGCATTTGACGATCCTGGAAACGTCAATCAATCATCTCAAGTAAGTTTTTACATATTTTATAATAATTTGATGCCATTCTAATTCTGAGCTAGTTGTAAACTGTGTGTTTCACTAACAAGTAAACCTACAAAATGTGGAAGTTCCAAAATTTTTGAAAGCTTTAATGGGAATTCGTATTTATAACTTTCCCATATCGGGGGCAAATTGATTTTTTTCTTTTTTAAAGGGGAACATGAAAAACTTAAGAAGATGAACAGGACGCGTGAGTAAATCGTAGACAGTCTTCGCTCACGCCAATTTCCTTCGTTAGGATTCTTTGATTTGAACATTTCAGAATTTGGAAATCAAAAGTGAGGCATCTAATATGGATTAATTGCAACTCTGGCAATTAGATAATTTTCCAACAGAGTACATCGAACACTCTAGGTGGAGACGATCTCCGGCATGTCGTCCGTCATTTCGCTCTCTGGCTTGTATTTTTTAGTTATACTCGATGTATTAACAGATAATCTGTGTGGTTAGAAGTTGACAGAGTTTATGCAGTGGGTATAAATTGATATCACGACTGAAAATAACGAGGACATCTAAAGTTCTTTTTTCAAAAACTGATTACCAATTAATGTACGTGAATTTAACATTATTGTGATTAAGTCACCTATGTACGTATTCAATCACGTTCAGTATTTTTGATTTTAGTACAGATATCTGAAACGGACATTTTAGCACAGTTTATATTCCGTACGATAAATGTCCCATCGGTAGTGATAGAAGTTGTGTGTCAGAGAAAACGTACCATCATTTCTTATTAGAATCTGCATGTCTAGTGAAGTGATGCTGAAATATTTTGTAAAAATAAATGAGACGAGTGATAATTTTTGAGATGAGATATTTTTTAAGATGCAAGTATGCTAAACCTTAGCGAACACTTTCAATTACATTTAAAATTTCCTGTGATTTATTTTGTTGGGTGTCCCTTCGCAAGTGTTGTTGCCTTTATTTTAATTCAGATTCAATTTTCAGATATCCAACAAACCATATTCGGCTCGAGAGGCCCTACATTTCGTGAAAGAGACTTATGTCAAAGAAGGCCTGTTGAGCTTGTGGCGTGGTAATTCTGCGACAATGGCGCGTATCATTCCGTACGCTGCCATACAGTTTACTGCCCATGAACAATGGAAACGCGTTCTTCAAGTAGACCCATCGTAAGCAATTATTTTAATTACTTCCTTCATTAAGTTTCCGGGACCTATTCCTCTTACCATCTGCTTAAGCTTATTTCACTAGGGTGTCCGTTATATTGCAAAGAAATTGTTTTGCTACTTTTTTTAGACTCACCCACTAAATATTTTCCATTTGGCCAAATTTACTCAAAAATTAAATTGCACTTCAATTGACCGATATTAACACGTGCCGACTAGCGCGAAAATTGAACGTTAGGGATGATTGGTTTTGTGATGTTAAGTCAGTGTAAAACTACTGATACATGCTTAATATATAATTTTATATGAGTATTACAATTTCATTCATTTTTGCTCTTCAGACTGCGTTATGGTTTTTACTTTTCTTTTGGGTATTTTTTTCAGTATTTCTTTCTTGCAATATGTGTACAGTGAACCATGTACTTGAACAACACCACACAGATTGCTTTCGCTGCTCATCTACTATCAGTAGTGCATGAAAATCTTTCTTTAATTTAACAGCCCTTTCAGCGCAGTCATTCATAGCTTTCAACTTTTTAATTAACCTTTGAGCTTCTAAATTTGAAGAGCGGCTTGTCCAGATTGAAGAACATTCTTGAATAAAACTAGTATCAATCTTCAGGCAAGAGAACAGATATCTACTTTTCGTTGCCTCAAAGTCGGCTGTTGTTTTCAGTAAAATTAAAATTGAATTGAATTAGAAGTGTTGTATATTAACGAATTAATAATTAAAGAACGGTCATTGCGATACAATTGCGCTTACCACATTATTCTCCATCCAATTCTCCACAAAAGGGAATATATCACCCTTCTATGTGTAGATTCTTAAGGGCTAAATTTTCTATCATTTTGATTTTGATTTGAACGTTTACTTCATCATCAAAGAGTGATACGACAGACAATTCATCTAATAAATACTACATAAGGTGTCGAAATTGTTTTAGAGATGCTTTTGAAATTATATCTGTCCTTTCACGTTATTTTAGAACTGTTAAAAAGCAGATTTCTTCATAAGGAGCTTTTGCAGCTGCATTGCACTGAAGTCACAGTTTGAGATAGTTACAATCAACAGAAAGACATTTTTTAAAGATTACGTCACATATTTTACATTCAAACACACGTTGTAAAATAAGTCCCTATATGTGATAACGGAACGGCAAGAACAGTTCCCTGTTCAAATTGTTTTCAAGAAAGACACATGCTCCTTTCGAACGTCAAGTGTTCGATGCAAGTGTACAACAGTAAAGAATTTGTGCATTGTCTTAGATACCCCAGCGCGCTAACACATTAGAAACAGCGTTAGTGTGCTTTTATCAGAAAAATCCCGCAATTTTAGAAACCCGTTGAGCTGCTGACTGTCCTCAAATGAAACAGCAATTAGAAGTCTTTCTTCTTTTGGATCCCTGAATCATATGCAGACAACAATTTACCCAATCAAACAATCCCAATCATCGCTAAGAATTTCAGATAAATTACTTTTAAACGTTGATTTAATTGTTTCTTAACGTCTCTTATCTTCCCGTGTCTGATTCGAAGAATAGAAGATTTATTAACAGAGAGTTCTTCGGTATTGTGACCAAATGGTTTCAATGCATATTTGCATTTCAAATCGGCAGTCACATGCACCATTGAAAATGAACAATATGCAATTTGCTGATCTTAAGGTAACAAATTTTTGAACTCTCAATTCAGTCAAACCTCAAATGGAATGTACATATAACAGAATTCAACACTAAATTAAGTTCATTATGTTACGCATTGAGAATTATTTCAAATTTTGTCAGCATTTAAGCAGCTCGTTACGTGTATTTTGCAAATGTACATTCCCGCCTAAGATATGGCGTATTATTCTGGGGAAGCTCATCCTGTAGTACCCAGACATTTAAATTGCAAAGGAAACTTCTTCGAATAATGAAAAAATGCCATCCACGAGATCCCTGCAAGCCTCTTTTCATTGAGCTTGGAATCTTACCATTGTATGTATGCATGTACTTGGCGCGACAAACTCAGGCCTACCGGCGACGCCCCTGCCTCGCGGCCATACGTGTGGTTAGCACGTAGATATCCCCGCGCCTTATCTGCTCGTCTTAACCTGAGAAGTGAAGTCACACATTCTTCTCATTGTCACACAGCAATAATATACTAGGATATTGCAAGGAAAACGCACACTATAATATTCTGACTGGGAATTGAGCCCGGGGCCGCATAGTGGAAAGCGAGCACACTGACCAAGAGCTAGCCACGAGGCTAATCTTACCATTACCTTGCCTATTTCTTTACGAATCTGTAATATTTGTCAAAACTGACTTAATGGCGGCAAGATATCTTCATGCTATACTGATATTTATAATTACAACACATATCGTTCATTAAGCGTCAGTTTCAACAGTTCACTACAAGAAATCCACCTACATGTACGTTACTTTACAACGCATTGCCAGATGACATGAAACAATTGAAATCGGTACACATTTAAGTTAAAAGTAAAAATCTTTTCTGCTGCATAACTGTTGCTATACATTCAGAGACGATACTGATAATCAAAAATAAAAAAGTGTATTTTAACAAAACAATGATATATAATGAATTAGTTTACATTTGTATTGTATAATTTCAATAAAAGACGTAATATGCCTGTAACAAATAATGTACTTCAGCTTCCGGGTCAGTGATACCTATCTCGATCAGGTTTCTGTTAAGTTTTCCTGATACACTAAGCGAATGCTTTATAATATCCTCCTATGTGAATGCTGTCTTAAGAGCGTAATTCAAGTAGGAGAGTTTGTCACGTGAGAAATGATCAGAGTGACCGGAAGGGGAAGGGGGTTATGGTTGGAGAAGAAATAGTCCTGAAGTAGTTCTTAAGTTTAATTGCTTAATCATCACTGAAGTTACTATACGTGGAAACACCAGGAAAAATAGGAGAGAGATGAGAAATAGAGTGAGGGAGAAGGAAGCCCAATCTCGTCCTTTTTACTTTCTCGCCTCTCAAATTCTTCGTTAGAGAAAGATATATAATCGTGCGCCAGAAAATGCCAAAATTTCGCCAGTAAAAACCTTATTGTCGGATTCTGGTAACGAAGAAGTGGATAAATCCTTTTGCTAAATTTAGAGAGAAAAAAAATCCTTTAATTCCTGGTGTAGCCAGATTCCATGTTTTGTTGATTCTTCGATCCGAAAAATCGTTTAACAACAAAACGTCCGTCCGTCTGTCTGTGGTCAACGTTAGCGCCTAAATCGTTAAGCCGATATTCTTCAAAATTGATATTCCTCAATCGATCTGAATGAACTCGGGGCTTTGTGAGTTTCAAATGGATATTTTCATTTTTGATGGTACTTCACATGAAACCTCAAACACATTTTCAATTTTTTCTAAAAAAAAAAGGCTCCAAATTTTTTGATTAAATTTTGTTGTTTAGTAGTGCGAACGACGTTTCAGAGAATGGTTTAGATCTCATTTTGTTGATATCCCTGATTTTTCGAAAATTGCAACAAAAAAGTATTGAAACTACAAAATTGGAAATCGAAGTTTTTTGCTGAGACAAAATCTGTTCTGAAAAATTACGTCTTTAAAAAATGTCATTATTAATTATTATTTGGGGAATTATTATTTGTCACAATTCTGCCGCAGCAAATAATTGATAATCCCGGAAACTTCATTGAAAATCATTGGAAGCAATTTAATCGCAAATGCATAGTATGATGATGATAATAATAGTAATAGTAATAATAATAATAGTAATAATAATAATAATAGTAATAATAATAATAATAGTAATAATAATCACCGAGGTGGAGTGAGGATCTCAGTACACACTACTCACACACACAATGGACCAAAACAGTTGGAGTGTCCACGGAACTGCTCACAAATTGACTCGGGTACGACGTACAGGAGAGATAGCATGTATCTTGAAGAACAATAAGTGGAATTTCGAAGCAAGGAGCAGTATGGAGAGGTGTGAGACTCGAGTTACCGCACACTATGATGTGCTGCTGCTGAACTTGAACAACACATTGATCCGCACGTTACATCACATCAATTGAGAAAGAGAGAAGAGATCACCCGTTTTATCGGTAAGAACAACAGAGAGACTTAAACTTCCGCTACGACCAAAATACCCGGAGAACTCTCACGGAGGCTGATATAAGAGCAAGGGAGAGGAGCGATACTCATGGACGCGTCGGCACGCATAGCTCCGCAGGAGGATCTCTATTGCCAGGAGACCACGCAAGCCTCTGCATCGATGTGGTAGCCGTTCAGCCGAATCCACCAAGAATGGAGCTATCACCAGGACGTGTCCTCACAACAATTTAGTTGAGAGTATAGCATACAAACAAACACACATCTGAGAATGATGTATATACCATTGACGGAGGGGTCAGAGAGGGACTCAATGTAAGTAGAGTCTGAGGTATGGCATATAGCGCGGAACATATCGCACAGCTTACCGGTGGAACAGGCTCGCACTAGTACCGCTACCATGACACTACGCAGACCAGATGAATACAAAAAGAGGCATCACAAGAATGATCGCGGCTCGCACAAGGCAAAGATTACAATCAAACAACAACAGGGATGAAGAAAAGACGGCCATCATAAAGGAGGGGATCACCGCGCGGGTCGGGCCCACCACTAAGTATTCAACCAGTGACGATCCTCAAACAAGGAAAGAAGTTCATCCCAAATTATTGGCGTTGCAGAACTGGAGTGTAAGAAGCGTGTGACTCAGAAACTAACTGCCTCGGTCGCATGGCTAAGTTGATTTAAAAAAGTATTGAGTGCTCAAATGAAGTGCTTTGAAACAGATAGTGAGCACACACTCTACTCGGCGATTCGCGTTGCCAATATTGACTGAGCATCACTAGAGATCAACCTGAACGGAGCCCAGTGGTCGGATCAGGAGCTCAGTCCCATATAAAAACGTACACAGGTAATGATTAGATACAAACCGCAAAACAAGCAGGTGTAGACTGGGAGGTTAAGGAGGGGGCTCTACGGA